TTGACAATCATCTTGGATGATTTCAAATTCCATGAAAACAATCCATTCAGCTTCAGAATGCTTTAATCTTTTCAAGTCCAATTAGTTTCACATTTCACTTAAGCATCCTACTCCCCACGGTCATTCCCAACTTCTACCACTCTAAAAAGTTCTTTCTCAGAAATCCAATATTCTCAGACCAAAGTATTTTTTACACAATACATAAACATACTCTAGGTATAAAGGATTAAAATAAGTCCTTTCACCACTACCCCTAAAATTTCACCCCTTTCCCAGAAATAACCACTAAAAAACGTTTTACAATGTCCCATTCACTTTCTATCCATTCCATACACATATAATGTATACATTCCTGTTTTGTAAAAACCTCAGTGGAAGCACACTACAGAAAACTTTAAAAGTTTTCTGATTTTTGTTTTGGAGAACTTTTTGAGTCAATACATTTACTTTACCGATCATGAGTACACTCCATTAATGGTCATTTGGATTGTGTCAATGTGGCTATTACATGTAATATTGAATTTTCAAGAGAGCTTGCATACATCATTGTGTACACCAAGCATGTCAAACTCGCGTGCAGCCCGATGGCTGTGAGTTTGATATACTTGGTCAGGAATCTACTTAATGTAGATTCCTAGAAATAAAATGTTGGCTTAAAATTATGTTCGTTTAAATGAGATTCTGCCAAATGGCCTTCTAAAACCATCCTGCTAATTTACTAGATCCCTAGAATCCTTGCCAAAACTTTTAACTGTGGCTATTGTTAAATGAATGAAATTATGCCCTGGTCGGGTGGCTCAGGCGGTTGGAGTGTTGACCCATACACCAAAAGGATATGGGTTTGATTCCCAGTCAGGGCACAAACAGGAAGCAACTGATTGATGTGTCTGTTTCACATCGATCTTTCCCTTCCTCTCTCTCTCTAAAATCAATAAACATATCCTTGGGTGAGGAATTTTTAAAAATGAATAAAATTACTTTGATTATACTTGCATTTCCACAACTTAATGAACTCAAGTATCAGTTAAATTGCAAATTCCTGGAATTCTTTCATGTTTATTGGTCATTTATTTCTTCAGTGAATTCCCATTTTTTCCCTATTACCTTGTCATAGTGATTGTAATCTTCAAATGTCTTAAGTATTTTCTTCTAGTATATCACTTATCTTTTAACCTAATGGTATCTTTGACCTATGTAGTTTTTTAAAATTAATTTTTAGAGAGGAAGGGAAACATTGATTTGCTGTTCCACTTATTTATGCATTCATTGGTTGATCCTTTTATGTGTCCTGACCGGGGATTAAACCCACAACCTTGGAGCATCAGTTAAGTGCTCTAACCAAGCTACTCGACCAGGGCAACCTATGTAATTTTTTAAAATATATTTTATTGATTTTTTACAGAGAGGGAGAGAAATAGAGTTAGAAACATCGATGAGAGAGAAACACCGATCAGCTGCCTCCTGCACACCTCCTACTGGGGATGTGCCCGCAACCAAGGTATATGCCCTTGACGGGAATCCAACCTGGGACCTTTCAGTCTGCAGGCAGACACTCTATCCACTAAGCCAGGGGTGGGCAAACTTTTTGACTCGAGGGCCACAACGGGTTCTTAAACTGGACCGGAGGGCCGGAACAAAAGCATGGATGGAGTGTTTGTGTGAATATGAATTCAAAGTAAACATCATTACATAAAAGGGTACAGTCTTTTTTTCTTTTAGTTTTATTCATTTCAAAGGGGCCGGATCCGGCCTGCGGGCCGTAGTTTGCCCACGGCTGCACTAAGCCAAACCGGTTAGGGCCCTATGTAATTTTTAATGTTAGATTTGTTAACTTTTATTTGTACCTTCTAGATTTTCTGTATCATGCTTAGAAGGATTTCCCCCATCATTAGGTAAGAAATTGATTAATGAGGCCCTGGCTGGGTAGCTCTGTTGGAGAGTTGTCCTGATATGCCAAGGTTGTGGGTTTGATCCCTGGTCAGGGTACATGCAAGAATCAACCAGTAGGCCCTAGCCGGTTTTTTGCTCAGTGGATAGAGCGTCAGCCTGCAGACTGAAAGGGCCCAGGTTCGATTCTGGTCAAGGGCATGTACCTCAGTTGCAAGCTCAATCCTCAGAAGGGGCCATGCAGGAGGCAGCCAAATGATTATGTTCCGCTCTCACTTACGTTTCTATCTCTCTATCCCTCTCCCTTCCTCGCTCTCAAAAAATTTTTAAAAAAAATCAACCGGCAGGTGCATGGATAAGTCGAACAAATTCATGTTTCTCTTTCAAATCAATAAAGCCCTGGCCGGTGTGGCTCAGTTGGTTGGGCATCCAGAAGGTTGCCGACTGGATCACCAATAGGTGGCATGCAGGAGGCAGTGATGGATGTTTTGCTCTCACGATGTTTTTCTCCCACTCCCTCTAAAAATCAATAAAAATTTTTTAAAAAGATTAAGTAAAAGTCAAAATATATTTAGAAAAGAATTTAATGAATTATTTTCCCATGAGTGGACCAGGAACTACCTGCATCTGGTAATCACTAGCTAGATGGAGTTATCTAAAACAGTGATTGTCAAACTTTGAATCAGAATCACCTAGAAGGCTTAAGATAGCTTACTGGACTTTACCCTCTCAAGTTTGTCATTGAAAAGTCTGTTTGGGGGCCCAGAATTTACATTTCTAACCAATTTCTAGGTGGGACTGATGCTGCTGGTCTGGTGACCACACTTCACTGATCTCAAGTATCAGTTAAATTGCAAATTTCTGGGCCCAACATGCACCTAATAAAGCCTTTGTCGAGACCTAGGAATCCACTTTATCAGAACCCCATGATTTTGGCAGTTTGAGAACCACTGGGTTCAAGATGAGGCAGAGGGCTAGAGATAGGGAAGGAACCAGAGCTAAAGGCTAATTAGTTGTGAGAAAAGAACAACGGTTGGGGGACAGGTATACTCCTCATGGAAGCTATTAGTTGCAGGGGAAGCAGCTTTATAGTTATCCCACTCCTGACTTTAGGATCATCATGATACAGCCAAGGGGATGGGCTGCTAAATATAGTATGCAAGTAAAGGTCACTGATATAAGGCTAAGAAATTTAGGCCAGAGTTTTAGATAGGTTCTTCACATAACAATGAAATTATCCAGGTTGACAATGTAACTTAAAAGCAAATGACATGGTTTGGTTTTCACTTTGGAAAAGACTGCTAAGTATTAAGAGCAAAGCAAGCCCAGCTGGTGTGGTTCAGTGGTTGAAAGTTGACCTATGAACCAGGTCAAATTGATTCCTGGTCAGAACACATGCCCAAGGTTGCAGGCTCAATCCCCAGTATAGGGCGTGCAGGAGGCAGCCAATCGATGACTCTCTCGCCATTGATGTTTCTCTCTCCCCCTTCCTCTCTGAAATCAATTAAAAAAAAAAAAAAAGGAAAGGGAAAAAAAAGCAGACTGGCAGCCTTAAATGTTATCACCAAACCCTATTTGACCACCTACATAACTCTGGGATCTGCCTCTCCAGATCTCTCTGCCAGTACCTAAGTTTACTTTTTGCCATTTAAATTCTTGCACTAACTTGTTTCCTTGCCTCCAGACCCACTCACAAAACATTACCCACACTATAATATACCTGAAATGTATTTACTGAATCATGTCAGGTGTCCTAAAGGGTAGAGATTTGTGGTGATATACATCCAATAACCAATCATGTGTGGTTAATGTTTAAGTCCATAGGCCTGAAAAGCATATACAAAGATAAAATAATTTAGGGGTTACAGTAGACAAGGTACCTGCCTCCTCTCTCCATCCCAGCCTATGATCTCAAGCCTGGTCCAATGCTGGGTGAGGCATGGGTAACAGCTTTGTTTGATTTTGGCATATAAGGTCAGTTCATTATCACTTGTTTCTTGTCAAAAGGATTCCTGCTAAACAGAAATTAAAACTAGCCCAAAAACTAAGTTGGTAAATAAAATCTTTGTGCTACTGTAGCAACTAATTGTTTTCCCCCTTCCTTGAAGGTAACTTAACAGCTTAGGAAGTTGAATATAGCACTTTTATCACTGCATATCAAAATGTACAAACAATATAATAGATGTTATCATTCAAACTTAAAACCATTCAAACGTTTTAACACAGATTTTTAAAATTAAAGAACCTTTAAAGACAGATGGAATCAGAAATCCATCAAGCTATACTTTAATGCTATATAGCCTAGTGGCTGGCAGAAAGCCAATGAATCCTTAATAAAACTCTTTAACTTCCATATCTGACACACAAAAACAGTTTTCCATTTTTGGCAATTATAAAACTGGGGAGATCCCAGCTGGCTGAGGATCTCGGACCTCATTGTCATCCTAGCCTTTCAATCCTTCCCTGAAGCTCAATAAAAAATGGTTTGATCCTCAACCCTCAAAAATAGTTTTTCAAGAGAATCAAACTAAAAATAGGATTTGGGGGTTTTATTAAGTCCTCCCCTGAAGCTAAGAACTGCACAACTTATCAGTTATACTGATAATGTTGGCATGCTCCAAAGCAAGAAAACCATGTTAAAATTTCAAACATACCTCCCAATTCGGAAAAACCTATGGCTCTGAGGAAATTGCAATCCCTTAGTAGAATCAGAACCCAAATTACTCCTGTAACATAACAGAGTTGAATGTCAAGGGCTCCTAAAATGTAGGAAAATTTTTCTCATTGTAGCCTTTCAAGAATATGGTGTTGAATATCATTTTGAACAGCCATAACAGGGGAAGAAAAGTAGGTTGTTTTATGACATATCTATATCTATTACTGCACTTCCAATCTACCAAGTTTTTGTCCAATATTTGTCCCCCCGACCTAGCCTGTGAGCTCTGAACACAACAATCACCTGAAAGATTAATCTTTGTATCCCCAGCACTTAACATTTCCTGCAACACAGGTATGATACAAGGAAGTACTGAAATATGAAGCATTTCTATGCTATGACAAATACACAGAAGCTGAAGGGAATAAAAAACTGCCAAAATGCAGAAGCTCAAAGATTTAGGAGGACAACACATTTAGTTTTATTTCAATCAAATCACAACACTTTCTTTTCCAACTACTGAAAAGTGCATCTACAATTTGCTATTACAGATCCACTTTTAAAAGGTTTCCTGTGACATTATATAGCAAGCCTTTTTTTTTCCAAACAGAGAAATATCCCCAAATTCTTCCTCAAGTAAAAATAACTCCATTCCAGTAAATAGTAATACATAAAATTACAGTAAACCAGACACTTAAAAGGACAACCAAGAAGTCTTCCAACAGTTTATTAGAAAGAATGTAGACATTAAAAAAAATCCCACTGTCATGAACATAAATTGAGGTTTTCAGCCCTGGTACAAGCTGGATCAAAAAAAAAAAAAAAAGAAATAAAAAAACCCAATAGTGTATTAATACCATTTTTTCACTCATTTGCCACTGACAGTGCAAATACAAATTTGGTCTAAATGTACAGACTCTCAAGCAACAATGTACAGCCTTTCTTTGTCCTCCATGCTAAGAGATGTAAAAGTTTAAGGGTCAAACAATACCAAATGTACAGGCTTCAAAAACCATCTAAGTTAGGGCATTCACTAGTTTTAGCTAAAATACATTTGGAACACTGACAAGTGATCACTTATGTACAATAATGTGAAGTAAATTTTTTGAAAAATAAAACTTTAGTGGAACAATCCTGAAGAATATACCAGAGGAACAACAGGTTACCAGTTTAAGGTATCAATCCATTTGTTTCAGCCAGGTTGAGTCCATGTTCTAAAATCTAAAACTTAGTTATCTTTCCATAATCCAAGAGCTTCCTATCATGTCAGTATCTATGTTATGAAGTAAAGGAGACTTAGGTGAAATGTTTTTATTTATCACAACTGCTGTATCAATTGTCTAGGACCTCAACAGCATCATGGAAGTCTGGGAAATGTTCATGCATAAGGTTATTGCCTTAGCTGACTTAAAATTGCCCCATACAATGGTACATATCAACCCTTAGTGAAGCCTTTAAGAAAACAAACAGGTTGAAAAATGGGTTAAAGGAGGCAAATGCAGCATCTGCCTTTAGAGCTATCAACTCAGGAATTCTCTCAATTATGAAATCTTGCAGAGAAGTTATTTTTCTTTCTCAAAATCCAGGGACGACAACATTCCTTATTCCAGATCTGGCATTTCTGAAAGGATTTTAACAAGATTAGTATGAAGTACAAAGAAGTAATCCATCAACATCAAAGTCTTATAGGGAAAGCAGCCAGAGAGAGTTAAATAGTTGCCTACTTTTTGAATTTGAATCTCAATTCATTCAAATTTCTGCTTTGGCTATTTATTAGAGGCCATAAAGAAATAATAATTATTTTTCTAAGAATTATAAAGAAGTCAATTTCTTTATTTTAATAGTTGTGGTCTTTAATGTGAAATATTACTGTGCAAAACATTTTTACAAAGACACTTACTTTCATCATCACTGTCTTGTGAATCCTGCAGAGGGGAAATAAAGAAAAAAGTTACCAAGCTGATCAAACATTCCTTTGCTAACTGAAAAGTTTGCCTTAAAAAGCTGAAGCACTGTAGTTTTCACTCACGTAGCAAAGATAGGTGGTTAAATCAAGCTTATTAATTTAATCAACTGACTTAAGAATGGGTTTACAGATGGACAGCTGAGGAAGATGTGTGTCTTTTGGTAGGAATTGAGTCCATCCTTTCAATCCCTGTCAACCAGGCTGAATCTTGGTATAAAATGGTTTCTCTTCTCTCTTGACATTCAATGAAAGAAAATGGCTCAATACAAAGACCACTGGACTGATAGAAGACAATAAAGTCTAATCGTAGCTGGTGAATTGTCTAAGTAAGTATTTTCCTAACTGCATTGAACAAATTTCTTAACGATGTTAACAGAATGCCAGAGGAGGGGAATGTTGAGAAGAGTAACCCAGTATATCCTCTTACAGATTCACAATGTCCATATGTTTACTTAATCTCTGACCAATTCACTTTTATAAAACCTGTTTAACTTTGTAAAAATAATCCCTAAACTAACTCTTAATTGAATAAGGCATATGATGTCTCCATGCATTGATTCTTTTGAAATCTAGTCTCTTTAAGAATGGCCCATTAGACACCAGTTCCCTAGTAGGTAATCTTCCTTCAAAACTGGGCACATTTTAAAAACTGCTTTACCCTATATTAAAAACAAAGTCCTAGCTGGTTTTGCTCAGTGGATAGAGCGTTGGCCTGTGGACTGAAGGGTCCCAGATTCGATTCCAGTCAGGGGCACATGCCCAGGTTGTGGGCTCGATCCCCAGTGCGGGGTGTGCAGAAGGCAGCCGATTAATGGTTCTCTATCATCATTGATGTTTCTCTCTCTCTCTCCTTCTCACTTCCTCTATGAAATCAATAAAAATATATTTAAAACAAAACAAAAAAACAAACATCAAAAAGTAGCACACAAAAAAATCTTGACTATATATCAAACAACTTATAAATACATTGTTTCTTACTATTTAAGTAAATAAAGAAAAGAATTTATAGACTTACATCATCTGCTCCATCTACTTCCGGTAAATCTACATCCTCATCACCACCCATGTTGTTCATCATCTATTTGAAGTAAAAATTAGTTTTAAAAATGATGTTAAATTAAGCCCTAATTGCCCTAGCTAGTTTGGCTGAGTGGATAGAGCGTTGGCCTCCCGACTGAAGGTTCCCGGGTTCGATTCCAGTCAAGGGCATGTACCTTGGTTGCGGGCACATCCCCAGGAGGGGGTGTGCAGGAGGCAGCTGATGGATGTTTCTCTCTCATGGATGTTTCTAACTCTCTATCCCTCTCCCTTCCTCTCTGTAAGAAATCAATGAAATATCTTAAAAAAAAAAAGCCCTAATTATTAGGTGGCACGCTCCAGAATAAACCTTAAGTCTGCCATAGATTTCCACCAACAAAAAAAGCAAAAAAACATTTAAGTACCTTCCTTTCTGGAAAGATTATAGGTAATTGTATATAAAATCCTAAAAACTTGTAGGGAAGTTAAATCTAAATTCTCATTGCAGGAAGGTGAAGTTATTAAAATTCATCCAGCAAGATATGTATATATGATACAGAAATTAAACACCCAAATCCTAAATAGCAGTTACCACTGATGGATAAGAATGGGATTCATTTGTAGTTGTAAAGTTTTGTATCCTAAGCTGACTGACATATGTATTATGGTATTCTCGTTACAGTTTTAAATACTGTGAAGAACCAATAAATGATTTAAAATAAAGTCTTTCAGGATGCTTAGTTTGTATTAAAGGCCTGAAAATGGAATCAAAGGTCAAATAGTAACTAAGTTAAATACAAACATAATTCTTAAAAGACTTTATATCAATTATATATACAAGAAAATAACCTTATATATATATATACCTTCATATACTTATAATAAAATGGAGCTAACAACAAAACATGCTTACATGAAGTACTAATTTCCCATCTTTATCTGTTTCCAATCATAAATCAAGTAGTGTGTTATTGAAAGAGGTACAAATAGCCAAAGATAGAACTATTGTCTGATGGGGATGGACTTATCTCCCCAAGTTACAACTTTTCTGTAATATTTAAACTTTTAAAATTTTAAATATTTACACAACCATTATAACTTTGTAAACAAAAATCAAAGACTTCAAATATATATGCTACCTTGGACTTTAGAGTTAAATACTTAAGTCAAATCTCTCAGTATAGAAAGTCTGGGCAATCTAGTCTTGAATAATATGAGTAACTAGCAAAGTTTCCCTATGTCTAAAGGCAATGTTCAACACCTTAGTTAAAAGTTTTTGAGAGCAGAAAAAATGCTCAATATGTGCCAAGTACAATGTGTGGTGCTGAGGATATGATGACAATAGAAACAGAATTGAATATATTCAAGAGCTATTTAGGAGGTAAAACAAAAGAACAAAGATGCAGTTAACATATTGGATAGAGAGGCAGTGAAAGATAACAGTGTTAAGAAGTTGTGACTTGCACAGCTGGGTAAATAGTGGCACCAATTACTTCAGGTAAGAAATAATATAGTTGAGGAAAGTCACAAGTATCCTTCCTTTCCTCTTGAAATTAAGGTGTCAGAGCTATGTAAGGAGGAATGTTTAATAAACAGTTGCATACACGAAGCTGAAAATGTACTCCTTTTAACTCTTAGTTTTCAAAAAGAAATGTAAACAGAATGTAGTGAATTAAATTTTCTAATTGCAATGAGAAATGGATTTCATGGGCCTACCTTCAGCTTAGAGCAGTGGTTCTCAACCTTCTGGCCCTTTAAATACAGTTCCTCATGTTGTGACCCAACCATAAAATTATTTTCGTTGCTATTTCATAACTGTAATGTTGCTACTGTTATGAATCGTAATGTAAATATCTGATATGCAGGATGGTCTTAGGCGACCCCTGTGAAAGGATGGTCTTAGTTAGACCGCCAAAGGGGTCGCAACCCACAGGTTGAGAACCACTGGCTTAGAGCTTAATGTTCTCTTTTCTGATTACCTTTACTGCAGTACACTTGATAAGGTCTATTCTACCTAAAGGCAGATCATTGACTTCTTTTCTTTGGTCAGGGCAATATTTGGAAAAAACAGGCTTACTCAAACCCTTTCCCTGATCTGGCAAACTACAATATCCTTACTCATCACTCTTCGTGCACATTCCACCACGATTCTTGTGTTTAAAGGTTTACATTTGTATTACATGGCTCCAAAATACAGGCCAGTTACTGTATTCATGCTTCTAAAAAAAATCTGTCCCAGTGTTGTAATAAAAACTAGCTATACTGCATTGATTGACTATATGGTTTATTTTTTGTCTTTACACATCAACTTTAAAACTTAAACACTAAATTTTTTTAAACTGTAAAAGAATGTTAAATTTTAGGATTAAATGATTATTGTTAAAAATCTCATTTAGTTTTATTGCAGACTGGCCTTCGAGGTAAAGTAATACACGCCTTAAATACCACTAGGTACTTTAAAACCAATTAAACTGACTTCATAGAAATATACTGGAAGGGAGGGCAGAAGAATGCATTTAAAAGAACTTACCTCAGAGAAACGATCAAAATTAGACATGTCTTCATCTGAATCATCTTCCCAGTCTTTCCAATTATTGAAGTCCACACTAAGCCAGTTAAGCTATAGATCAATACAAACATCATCCTGTGATTAGGTTAACTTACACTCATTGGCATGTGCCTTAAGACTACATTTTTTTGAACTGTGGATTCATACCCACTAGTGAGCCATGGAATTAGCATAAATATAGTTTTATGAAACTCCTTTCAATTGTTAAACAAACTTACTTTTTAAAGCAACAACAAAAATTCATTGGTAGAAACTATGCTATACCTGGTTATTTTTTGTTTAGTGGCACCAAAATATGTGAGTCTGCCTCTTGAATGCAAAGACTCTCCATCAACTAGAGATTGATCTTGTTCTGACCTCATTTGGCTTTAAGTTAAAACTAATATATCTCAACGTAGAGAAAAACACAGAACACAAGGCTATAATAGTACTTAGCTTTGAAACAAATACTATGCCCATACCAAACAAATGTATCTTTCATTACTTAAAGTAAAAATGTGAAACTTTCAAAAAAAAGAAACCTACCTTTGCCCTTTCTTTTGTTAATCTTGGCCATGACTGGCCAGATTCTCCTTTTCGTAAACAACATAAAATTGATCTGTCCGTTCTTTTATGCTTGGAATCCTAAAAACAAAAACAAAAGCACTATCACACCATTTATCTCTTCAGTATCATTCATTCCTCACCTCTCCTTTCTAGTTTCTTTCCCTACATTTCCCCAAACTCTGAAAGAAACATCTCCTAACTACTTAAAACTTCATAAGCTATCCAATCGCATTAAAAAAAAAAAAAAAAAAAACCGGACAATTTTTTTCTTCCCAGCATAATCATAGAAGAGTTTTTAAAAATTTCCATAGTTAGCCCGGCCAGCGTGGTTGAGCATCGACCTATGAACCAGTAAGTCACGATTCGATTCCAGGCCACATGCACAGATTGCCGGAATCAATCACCGGTATGGGCTGTGCAGGAAGCAGCCAATAAATGATTCTCTTGTATCATTGATGTTTCTATCCTCTCTCTCTCCCTCTTCTTTCCTCTCTGAAATCAATAATATATATTTTAAAAATTCTATAGTTAGATAAGACAAGCCTCAAGAGTATAGCCAAGTCTTAACAGTGACAATAAGAAAAAAAGAGTATGCAGAAAAGTGGTTGGGAAGGGAAAACAGAAAAGTGGTTAGAAAGGGAAAATATCGCAAAATATAAATATACCTAGTTAGCCCTCTGAACTATTAAGAAAAACAGAAATTAGTGCTTGCTAAAAAGATATGTCCACTTCCTCATGATTTAAATCAGTATTAAAGCATCAAGACTACTTACATTTGGATCAATACAGTGAAAAAGATCAATTTCATTTAAATGTTTAAAATTATCACTTCCTCCAAGACAACTGTGGGGAGAAAAAAATTTTTTTAAATAAGTCTCTTGGAAGAGGTAAGGATTAATATAACCTCAGTGAAAAAACAAAACAAGCAAGCCAAAGTTATTCAATTACCCAAAATAAGTTTTGCCCAATTATGTAAAATGGAAATTTACCTGAATGTAAGTTTGGATTTTTCAAAATTTACATTAACATCTTTACTGTCTTCAACACAAAATTCAATGAAGACATAGTCCCTTCGATCGTACCACTTTGCAGAAGCAGGCTGCCTACAGAGATAAAATTAGACAAAGTTAAGTTGGACTTCATTAGCTAAATATTTACATAACCTCCCAAGTTTAGCATATAAGAAACAAATTTTTCTATTCCATTAGAGCATTGATTATTTTGAGGTAGTTTATTACAATTTCTAACAGAAACTACATTTTTACTCTAACAGCTACATTCCAAGAAAGCACAATGACACTGATTTTATTTAAAAAAAAAAGGGGAAGGGATTTAAAAATAAAATAAACAATGCTCAGTAGAGTTAACCATTTAGGTAGCCCTGTCAACATTTATAAGCCACTCCTTTGGGGTTCTGCTCCTAAAATTCAATTCACAGAAATAAAACATCAGAAAGAACTAATCCACCATCAACTGAGATATATGTAGTATTCAACATTATAACTTACAGTGAATCCTAGGAACTGTGGGAGGAATTTAAAAGAATGAAAAATGGCCTTGGCTGGTGTGGCTCAGTTTGTTGGAACATTGCCCAGTATACCAGAAGGTGGCAGGTTCTACTCCCATCAGGGCACAAACCCAGTTTGTGGGTTTGACCCCCAGTTGGGAAGCAACCAATGTTTCTCTCTTACAATGATGTCTCTCTCCTTTCCTCTCTCAAATCAATGAAAAGGGGGAGAGGGGAGTAAGGGAAATGACAATATTCTCAAAAAAGTTCTCACCTGCAGCTTTTTTTCTGACCGTATAAAGCAACCATTTTGTTTCTGGACAAACAAATCTTCCTATGATTCTAAATAATGACACTAGATAAAGAATTAAACTTCTTGCCCTAGCTGGTTTGGCTAAGTGGATAGAGTACCAGAGGGTCCTGGGTTCGATTCTAGTCAGAGGCATGTACCTCAGTTGCAGGCTCCTCCCTGGCCCGGGCCCTGGTCAGGGCTCATGCAAGAGGCAACCAATCTATGTGTTTCTCTCACACTGATGTTTCTTTGTGTTTTTCCCTCTCTCCCAAAAAGTCATTGGAAAAAATGTCTTCGGGTAAAGATAAACAACAACAACAACAACAAGAATTTATTTACAGCCTCACCTTTATACTATCTATACATGTATCCAATACATACTAGAAGCAACCTGGAATATTTGCTTCTTCCTTTTCATGTGTTTCTGTTCTTTGCAATATAGTATTACCCCTGTCTTCATGGAGTCAGCTGTCTAGAGCTCTTTCCATCAATTAGAGTATGGCTAAAAAACCGCTAGAAGCTATATATAGTCAAATATGGCTGATTAACAGTCAAAAAAGATTACCTGTGGCCTTAGCTGGTTTTGCTCAGTGGATAGAGTGTCAGCCTGAGAACTAAAGCAGCGGTCGACAACCTTTTGGGGTCCGTGGACCACCGGTTGGCAACCGCTGGACTAAAGGGTCCCGGGTTCAATTCTGGTCAAGGGCACATGCCCTGGTTGCGGGCTCTGTCTCCAGTAGGGGGCATGCAGGAGACAGCCAATCAATGATTCTCTCTCATCATTGATGTTTCCTTTTTTTAAAATACATCTTTATTGATTTCAGAGGAAGGGAGAAGGAAAGAGAGACAGAAACATCAATGATGAGAATCATTGATTGGCTGCCTCTTGCACATCCCCTATTGGGGATCAAGCCTGCAACCTAGGCATGTGCCCTTGACCAGAATCGAACCTGGGACGACCCTTCAGTCCACAGGCTGACGCTCTGTCCACTGAGCCAAACGAGCGAGGGCATCATTGATGTTTCTATATCTCTCTCTTCCTCTCTGAAATCAATAAACATATTTTTTAAAAAAGATTATATGTGATAAATACTTCAACTTTTCTATAAACCTAAGATTATTTCAAAATAAAAGTTTAAAATTCTAGTTATATGTTCAAACACTACTCATAAATCAACTCAACTGAAAGGAATTGTTTTATTTCTAAGCTCTGACATTCCCAACCCAACGGAGTAGTAATTTAAATCCCTTCTATACATAAAAGTTACAACCAACTACTCATCAACATTTTTACACAACTGTTAAAATTTTATTTAAATGTTTTTATTGATTTTTAGATAGAGAGGAAGGGAGGAGAGAGAACCATCAAGAGAGACATAGTTCGGCTGCCTCCTGCATGCCCTACTGTTAAACTTGACTAGTCACTCTACTCTGGAACACTGGTATCAGATCTGAATGATAGAGGTTAAAAATTACAGATGGCAGTTTCCAAAATCTAAATACCAGCAGATCCGCAAAGGTAAATCTATTTTTTAAGGCATCTATTGGCAAATTAAACAAAATAAAAACATGAACTTTTTAAATGCCTCTAAAAAGGTATCTAACCAAACTTCTGTGGACTAAGGATTCCCAACTTTTTTTTTTTAGAATATGTGCTGCTGGAGTGAACACAAGAATCACAACTTCTAATGTTTGTATATTAATATAGCTAACAAGCAATTTCGTTTTACAAATAGATCACACATTATTTCTAGTTTTTCTTACCCCAACAGTATTTTCAATATGTGGTAACGTTGTCATTAACTGAAAATATTTGCAAATTTAATAATTAAACTTTAAGTGACTAGGCTTATAGACTCTCAAATTGAAGTAACCAGATAAGCCCTATTTTTAATATATATTTTATTGATTTTTTATAGAGAGGAAGGGAGAGGGATAGAGAGTTAGAAACATCGATCAGCTGCCTCCTGCACACTCCTTACTGGGTATGTGCCCGCAACAAAGGTACATACCCTTGACCGGAATTGAACCTGGGACCCTTGAATCTGCAGGCCGACGCTCTATCCATTAAGCCAAACTGGTTAGGGCAAGCCCTATTTTTTAAAAGCACTAATGATAACAATCTGGAGCAATGAACAACCTAGTGCCCCAACTAAAAGAAACCAAGATTCCTACAGAGAAATAACCTCAAGTGGGAAATGCAGATGACCTTGAGACATCTGTATTTGAATGAAAATGAAGCTAGTGAGAACAATGTCAGCCAGACCCGGAGGCAACAATTAAGGTCTATCACGGTGGCCAAAGACAAAATATGAGCATCAGAATGACTGCAGCCCTGTTGCTTCGTGGTTAGAGCATCATACTTCACACTTTAGGGCAGTGATATCGAAACTATGACACGTGTGTCAGAGGTGACATGCGAACTCATGTTTTTGGTTGATTTTTCTTTGTTAAATGGCATTTAAATATATAAAATAAATATCAAAAATATAAGTCTTTGTTTTACTATGGTTGCAAATATCAAAAAATTTCTATATGTGACAGGGCACCAGAGTTAAGTTAGGGTTTTTCAAAACGCTGCCACGCCGAGCTCAAAAGGTTCGCCATCACTGCTTTAGGGTCTTGGGCTTGCTTCCACCCCCCCTCCCCCAACTGGGGCATCTGCTGGAGGCAATTAAGCATCTCACACCCAAGCTTCTACCCCCCCACCCCCCCACCCCCGCAAAGCAATGGAAAAAATATCCCCGGGTGAGGATTAACAACAAAAAAGAACGATTGCAAATTGGTTCAAATACATTGAATATAAAAATGAAGTTCATATTGACTTAAGATGCTACAGCTCCAATTTTTTTTAATAAATTGGCAATTAAATATAAATAATTAGGCATTTTCCCTCCTTTCGCTTTATGAACCTTTATTATTCATGATAACTGAATAGGACCAGTTCATGAAGGAAACTTCTTTATGGAATTCCACTTTGGTGTGGAATAAAACATGGGGAGGAAAATCACTTTTGCAACCCTTAAACTGATTTGGCAGTGATCATCACTGGATGAAACAATTAACAATGACTATATGAACAACTGATAAAGAACTTAAAGATCTTAGCATCACTGAAAGTGAGACAACCAAACATATACTTCCTAATTTTATGCAACATGATACATTCCGCAGTAAACTTAATTTCCATCTACAGAAAATATGAGGAAATAGAACAAGTTAAATGATACCACAAGGAAGCAACATATCTAGAATGTTTCTAGATCAATGGCACAAAGAGGAGGGAAATGCTCTAGATTAAGAGACCTAAGAGTTATCAAACAAATGCAATTTGTGGCATGGTCTGCATCTTGATTCAATAAACTAAACATAAAAAAGATGAATAAAACTGTGGAGATCTGGATATGAACAGGCGATGTTAGTTTTGCTAGTGTAAATGGCATTGCTTACCTTGTAAATGTCAAATTGTGTATTAAGAATCTATAGTAATGGAAGAGGAGCACACTAATGGTGACCTGGTTATTAAAATGGCCATATCAAAAACCAAGTATGTAAGTTCTTCAGTTTCTATTCACATTAAGGACATTGGGACCAGGGAAGAATCTATTTCCTTTCCTCATAATCATATTAAGTAATCTAGAGTTCTATCACTGTTATGGGCTCAATTGTGTCCCCCACCAAATTCATATGTTAAAGTCCTAAACCAACAATCCCTCAGAATGTGACTGTATTTGGAGAGATACATCTTTAAAAGGTAAGTAAGCCCTGGCTGGGTGGCTCAGTTGGTTGTAGTGTCATCCCATACACCAAAAAAGGCTGTGGGATCTAGGAGCGTATGGAAGGCAACTAACTGATGTTTCTTTCTCCAAAACATACCTCAAGTGAGGATTAAAAAATAAGAAGGTAATTAAGGTAAAATGAGGTCTTAGAATAGGCCATAATCCAAAATGACTGGTGTCCCTACAAGAGATTAAGACACAATTACAGCCTGGCCAGCGTGGTTCAGTGGTTGAGCGTCGACCTATCATGTTTCTATCTCTCTCTCCCTTTCTCTATGAAATCAATAAAATATGTATGTGTGTGTGTGTGTGTGTGTGTGTGTATTTATTTTATTATTTTTTTTTTTAAAAACACAACTACAGAGGGAAGACCCTGTGGAAACAGGATAAAATGGTCATCTGTAAGAAGGAAAGCCAAGGAGCAAGGAGCAAGGTCTCAGAAGAAACCAACCTTGCTGACACCTTGATCTCAGACCAACACCCTCTAGAACTGTGAAAAAATTAACTGTTTAAGTCACCTAGTCT